ATTTCTAACAGTACCGTAGACGGAAGTTGCTCTCTATGCAGTGTTTCTCAACTTAGCCATTTTAAGATATCTGGACTTCAACTTCAATTCCCCAACTGGGGAATTCTGGGAGTTGAAGTCCATGCATCTTAAAAGTATTCAAGTTCAATCAGGGAAAAATTACAGTAAAGCCCATGTTGGAATACATGTTAGAATGTATTTTGTATCACAACAACTGCAGAATTATTCAGCCAGTAGATGGCAGTGTTTAGCGTGCATCTATAGTTACAATCCATGTTTTCTTTATGTTCTGAGGAGAGTTTCCTGTGACAGTTGAGACAGTTAACATATACAGTAGTGGCCAAAATTGTGGAAATCTTTGGGGGAAAGTGTATTTTTGAGGTTTGATGGCTAATAACATCACTTTTGTGGGGGGGAGTAGTACCATAAAATTATATATCAATGGAAAGATAATTTAATCAAGAATGTAATACAACATAGTTTGTTCAATTATGTATACTGTGTTCTATGAAAAGTTATAGCCAAATAATCGGAAAAAGGAAGCACAACTTGCTTAGGTTGATATCAGGTAGCTTTCCTTCATCCGATTGTAGCCAGTGAGCATGAGTGTTTAGAGAGCTAATCAGGTGTCATCTTCCTTTGGCAATGAGCCAATCAGATCACAGTAGGATTCAGTTATTGATGTCACGTACTGAAGCCGAGAGAAGGACATTTGTCAGTGTGTTATGTGATCGCTATCTAGTTGGTTGGGGGTTTTTTGCATTCTTTCATTTAGTGAGCTTGTAAAACGTAATAAAATTAAAGTAAGGGTGCAAAGAGTTGACTGGTCACCCAGAAAGCGATGTAAAATAGAATTATTAGGTGAACAAGGCTACAGTTATAAAGAAATTAGAAGAAAAATTGGTAGAAACTTAACCAAAGGTGGCATTTCTACTGTACACTTTTCCCAAAAGGTTTCCACAACTTTGGCCATGACTGTAGTTGAGTGGTAAAGCACATGGTGATTGTGCTCTTTGCTCTGTGGTGATCTATATACAACAGAATTTCTAACGGCCAAAGTGTGGGGGCAATTCTAGGGACTGTAGTAAGGAGGCATTGCTTCTTTGGGGTGCCATTTGGGGATCAGGTAGGGGCCCCCAATCAGAAAGCACACCCCAGATACACCAGGGCCTTACCCTCTTTTTATTTTCTTCATATCCTTGTGCCCTCGCTGTTTTTATTTTTGCACGGGGTTTGTTTTACATTCGAATATGCTTCCCTACACCAGCCGCCAACTGTCACTTTGATTGCGGTGGCATAGCTATCATTTTCATAAAGCAATATATTCCTTCAAATTGCGATTGACCACGTTCAGAGAAACCAGTCGACCGAGTGACATCAGCCAAGACACTGCAGCCAAGATGGATCTCTCTGAGCAGGGCGGGTGTTAATTGAATCCGAGCCTGGCTCTGAATTTATGGCCTGTGATGCTTTATTGAGTTGGCTGCTGTTGGCTTTAATTACGGTGATTCACTCTGGAGCAGCGGGGGTAGGAAGGTGAGAGATAGCTCAAGTAAACTTGCCTCCAGAAGCTGTGAATGCTCCAACACTGGAAGTTTTTAAGAAGAGACTGGACAACCATTTGTCTGAAATGGTATAGGGTTTCCTGCCTGAGCAGAGGGTTGGACTAGATGACCTCCAAGGTCCCTTCCCTCTATTCTATTCTATTCTATTCTATTCTATTCTATTCTATTCTATTCTATTCTAAAATCTATTCTATTCCAAAATCTATTCTATTCTATTCTAAAATCTATTCTATTCCAAAATCTATTCTATTCTATTCTGTTCTAATTCTACAATCTATTCCATTCCATTCTATTCCATTCCAAAAATCAGATTCTATTCTCAATAAAGATTCTGTTCTATTCTACAATGTGTTTATTGTATTGTATTGTATTCTCTATTCTATTCTCTGTATTCTGTATTCTGTATTCTGTATTCTGTATTCTATTCTATTCTATTCTATTCTATTCCAAACTAATGAGTGGTATTCATTTAGTAAGTCAGAACTTGGGGATCATATCTCATTTTAAAAACCTGGCACAGATCTCAGCCAGACTTCAAAAAAGCTGGTCCAATAGAATGAGTGTGAAGACAATCCATTGGCTGTTTTTGATCTCATTTAATCTTCCCAAAAGTCAAACCAGAATTCTCTGTGGATTTTAGATAGACAATATAGATAGTCCTTCCCTTACAACCATTCATTTTGTGACTGTTTGGAGTTACAATGGCCCTGGAAAAAAAGTGACTTTATAACAGTTTTTCACACTTACGACTGTTGCAGCATTCCCAGGGTCAGGTCATCAAAACCTAGACCCTTCACAACAGGTCCTAGTGGATCAGTTTGTCCTAGTGCAGGGGTAGGCAACCTTGGCTCTTTTATGACTTGTGGACTTCAACTCCCAAAATTCCTGAGCCAGCCATGCTGAGGGAAAAGGGAGAGGTTTCCAAGCTGAGCCATGCTGGCTCAGGAATTCTGGGAGTTGAAATCCACCAGTCATAAAAGAGCCAAGGTTGCCTATCCCTGACCTAATGGAAGATCCCTTAAATATCAGCCGGCCGTGTACAGCAGGAGACGTGCCTGGCTGAGGAATTCTGGGAGTTGAAGTCCACCAGTCATAAAAGGGCCAAGGTTGCCTACCTCTGCTATATACCATTTCAGACAAATGGCTGTCCAGTCTCTTCTTAAAAGCCTCCAGTGTGGAGTACCCACAACCTCTTAAGGAAGCAGTTCCACTGATTAATTGTTCTCACTGTCAGGAAATTACTCCTTAGTTCTAGGTTGCTTCTCTCCTTGATGAGTTTCCATCCGTCACTTCTTGTCCTGCCTTCAGGCGCTTTGGAGAATAGCCTGACTCCCTCTTCTTTGGGGCAGCCCCTGAGATACTGGAAGACTGCTATTATGTCATCCTTAGTGCCTCTTTTCTAGACATATCCAATTCCAGCATGCATTCTTTGTATGTTTTAGCCTCCAGTCCTCTAATAATCTTTGTTGGTCTTCTCCGCACTCTTTCTAGAATCTCAAAATCTTGTTTACATCATGGTGACCAAAACTGGATGCAGGATTCCAAGGGAGGCCTTACCAAGGCATTGTAAAGTGGTATTAACACTTCACGTGATCTTGATTCTATCCCTCTGTTAATGCAGCCCAGCACTGTGTTGGCCTTTTTGGCCGCTGCAGCACATGGCTGGCTCATATTTAAGTGATTGTCCACTAGGACTCCGAGATCTCTCTCACAGTTGTTACTATTGAGCAAGGTACCCCCTATACCAGTGATGGCGAACCTTTTAGAGACCGAGTGCCCAAACTGCAACCCACTTATGCATCGTCGGGTGCCGGGTGGGTGTGGCCCATTGGCTGGGTGTGGCCAATTGGGTGGACGTGGCTGTGGTGGTAACGGCAGACTGGGTGGGACTAAAAAGTTCAATCAATCAATTCCAACTTTGCAAGATCTTTTTTTTTCCCCGCAAGAAGTTGAAATTGACTGATTGAACCTTTTTTTTTTTTTTACACGGCGGCGGAGGCCTAATGTGAAAAGGTTTTATAAAACCCAGCTGAAGGCCTAGGACTGGGGCGACGGCGCACGTGCCCACAGAGAGGGCTCTGAGTGCCGCCTCTGGCACCCCTGCCATAGGTTCACCACCACTGCCCTATACTATACCTGTGCATTTGGTTTTTCTTGCCTAAGTGTAGAACCTTCCTTTTTTCACCATTGAATTTCGTTTTGTTAGATAGCACCCAGTGTTCAAGTCTGTCCAGATCCTCCTGTATGTTAAGCCTGTTGACAGAAGTGGGGCCAACTGTGCCAATACTGTACTTGGTTTGCATTTCTGCACAGTGCGCGCTTGCAAAGTGACTTTTTCAAATAATTTGGATTTAAAAAAAAAAATTGGTGGTGCTCTTGGACCGCCAGGCGGAGGTCTTCTCCCCCCAGCCAGGCTCTTCGTGCGGCTTAGCAGGTGCCTGCCCGGCCCCCCTTTCCCTTCTCCGGGGAGAGACGGGAACTCTTACATAATGGGCGCTTATGCAACGCCCCCCCCCCCTCTCTGCTTTCGCCCCGAGGTCAGCAGCAGCAGCTCCGCGTCTCTATCCAAGCATCTCTAACCTCCATTCATGCGAGTGCGGGCACCGGCATCTCCAAAGCACGCGGGGGGGGGAGAGAGCGGATCATTACAGACCCCAAATACGGGAGGGGATTTCCATTAATCCGACCCCTGCCCCACATCTGGATGTGATGGAGGCATATCGACCTCCTGTGGATGAAGATTAAGGAATGGTTTAAATTAAAAAGAAACAAGACAGCACCGAATTCGCTCTCGTTTCCTACCCCCCCCATCCCTGAGATGGAATGGACCGTTCCGCACTTCCAGAAGCTATGAATGAAATATTTGCCGCGAAAGGAAGGGAGCAGACCATTCTAACGAAGGAGGGAGGTTGTTCTTCACCACCCCTGCAAATTTAGGGCTCGGCGTTACGGAGACATTCAGGGCGGTTGTTTTTGATTTTGGAAAGAAAAAGGAAAGATACGGACCACACTTCGGAAGAAGCGAGACCTCTTAAGGTGGGGCGGGCATTTCATGATTTCTTTCTCTTCCCCCCCTTTCCTTTCGGAAAAATAGCTCCATCCGCTCTCTCCCTCCCCTTGGGCGGGCGGCCGCGCCGATTGGCCGGGCGCATTTTAAAGGGGAAGACAAGGCGCGCTTTTTCTACCCTCCGACCTTCCCTCCCTTCTCGCTCCCGCTTCGCCTCAGCCGCTCGGGGATTACCGTCCTCCGGCCTTCCCGCAGCCGGGGGCCGAGCGAGCGAGCGAGGCGGAAAAGCAGCGAACGTGAGCCTTCGTCGAGCCCCGGTCCGGCGGGGCGGGCGGGATGAAGAGGGGCGCTCCCCGCCCGCGGAGACTCCGACCACGTCGGCCAAAAAGGCGGCGGCGGCGGCGACTAGGCCCCGCCGCGGCGCTGCCATGGCAACGGGCGGCGACGGTGGCCGCCGAGGGACAGAAAGGCTGCCCGAGCGGCGCCTGAGGCGCGCCGAGCGCGAGCGGCCTCCGCCGCCGCTGCCGCTTCTGAGGGCCGCCGCGGCTTCCGCCATGGAAGGCCGGCCGAGCCAGGCCTCGCCGGCGGGAAAAGCCTCCCCTCCTCCTCCGCCGCGCTACCGCCTGGTGTCGGAGATCGGGCGCGGGGCCTACGGCGTGGTCTACGAGGCGGTGTCCGGCCGGAGCGGCGCCCGGCTGGCCGTCAAGCGTCTCCGCTGCGACGCGCCGGAGAACGTGGAGCTGGCGCTGGCCGAGTTCTGGGCCCTGACCAGCCTGCGCCGCCACCACCCCAACGTGGTGCGCTTCGAGGAGTGCGTCCTGCAGCGCGACGGGCTCGGGCAGCGCATGAGCCACGGCAACAAGCAGAGCGCGCTCTACCTGCGCCTGGTCGAGACCTCGCTCAAAGGTGAGAGGGTCGAAGGGGGGTCGCCTGGACACGCTCTCACAGCCACATATATACACACACACAACCGGGGAGGACACGTGTCCGGGCGTCCGCACGCCGCGTTCTTGGAGGGCCCGCTGCTGAGGCCAGGAAGATGGAGGAGGAGGAGGAGGAGGTAGCTCTCGGGGGTGGGGGGGTTTTGCTTGGGGGTCTCTCTGAGCTGGGTGGCTCCCTTGCAGACGTTTCGGGGCCCGGCTAGGGAACAGCATCAGGGCTAGGAGCAGTGAGAGGAGGAGGAAAAGGACTGTGCGGTCCTTGGGGGTCTCTGAGCTGGGTGGTTTTTTTGCAAACGTTTCGGGACCTAACTAGGTAACAGCATCAATAATAGAAAGGTGGGGGGGTTGGAGGGAGGAGGAGGAGGACTGTGGGGTCCTTGGGGCTCTCTGAGCTGGGTGGCTCTCTTGCAGACGTTTCGGGGCCCGGCTAGGGAACAGCATCAGGGCTAGGAGGAGGAGGAAGAGGACTTTGGGGGCTCTCTGAGCTGGGTGGCTCTCTTGCAGACGTTTCGGGACCTAACTAGGTAACAGCATCAATACTAGAAGGGTGGGCTTGGAGGGAGGAGGAGGAGGAGGACTGTGGGGGTCCTTGTTGCTCTCTGAGCTTGGTAGTTTCCTTGCAGATGTTTCATTGCCCAACTAGGTAACATCACCAGGTTGGGGGAGGGGGAGGGGGAGGAGGAGGTAGCTCTGGGGAGGAGGGCTGTCCTTGGGGGTCTCTTTGAGCTGGGTGGCTCTCTTGCAGACGTTTCGGGACCCAGCTAGGGAACAGCATCAGGGCTAGGAGGAGGAAAAGGACTGTGGGGTCCTTGGGGGCTCTCTGAGCTGGGTGGTTTTTTTGCAGACGTTTCGGACCTAACTAGGCAACAACATCAATATTAGAAGGATGGGGGGGTTGGAGGGAGGAGGAGGAGGAGGAAAAGGACTGTGGGGTCCTTGGGGTCTCTGAGCTGGGTGGCTCTCTTGCAGACGTTTCGGGGCCCGGCTAGGGAACAGCATTAGGGCTAGGAGGAGGAGGAAAAGGCCTGTGGGGTCCTTGGGGGCTCTCTGAGCTGGGTGGGTTTTTTTTGCAGACGTTTCAGTATATAACTAGGTAACACCATCAATACTAGAAGGGTGGGGGGCTTGGAGGGAGGAGGGGGAGGACTGGGGGGTCCTTGGTGCTCTAACCCTAACGTCATCATTGCTAAAAGGGAGTGGGGTTGGAGGGAGGAGGAAGAGGAGGAGGAAAAAGACTGAGGGATCCTTGGTGCTCTCTGAGCTTGATGGTTTTCTTACAGACGTCTCATGGCCCAACTAGGTAACATCATCATTGCTAAAAGGGAGTGAGGTTGGAGGGAGGAGGAGGAGGAAAAAGATTGAGGGGTTCATGGTGCTCTCTGACCTTGGTGGTTTTCCTGCAGACGGTGTATTACCCAACTAGGTAATATCAGTGCTAGAAGGGAGGGAGGAGGAGGAGGAGGACTGTGGGCTCCTTGGTGCTCTCTGAGCTTGGTGGTTTTCTTGCAGACATTTCAGGACCCAACTAGGTAACATCATCAGTGCGAGAAGGGAGTGGGGTATGCAGGGAGGAGTAGGGGGACTGTGGCATCCGTTGGGGGCTCTCTTGCATACGTTTCATGACCCAAAGATGAAACTTTGGCAGTTATGTGCCTCGGCATTTCAACTTGAGTAAGGAGGGAGGTGTTACTTTCAAGTGGGTTAGATGGAGAAACGAAACTTCTACAGTTTAGCTGAAGACCGGGAGAGCCTGAAGCCTTGTCAAGGACACCAAAAGAGGTGTGGATTTGAAGCAGACGGTTCCCATAACAAAGTGAACCTGTTTATATCGACTACGGAAGACGTTTGGGGGTTTGGCTGGGGAAATGATTGTTTAACTCTATGACAGGGCTCTTCAAACTTGGCCCTTTTCTGACTTGTGGACTTCAACTCCCAGAATTCCTCAGCCAGGCACGCGTGCCTGGCTGAGGAATTCTGGGAGTTGAAGTCCACAAGTCAGAAAAGGGCCAAGTTTGAAGACCCCTTGCTCTATGAATTGGGGTTGGAACCTCAGAGTTAAGCTTTGCTTCGACATCAGTGCATTCAAGAAAGAGTAAGATGGAACGAACCTGGAGTTTTATTTTGGATTCTTGAGCTGGAGGTTAGCAGTAATCTCATCAGTGCTAGAAAGGAATGGGGTGTTGGGTGGGGGGAGGTGGAGGACAACTTTGGCTCCTTGGTGGTCTCTGAGCTTGGGGTTTCTCTTGCAAACGTTTCATGACCCGCTAGATATCTTCAGTGCTAGAAAGGAGTGGGGTTGCATGGAGGAGGAAGAAGACTGTGGATCCTTGGGGTGCTCTCTGAGTTTGGTGGCTCTCTTGCAGATCTTTCATGACCCAGCTAGGTAAGGGAAGAACCCATGCCCCAGCAGCCTAGCTACGTTGGAGGGGTATACGGGGTAGGTGGGTGGTACAAGTGCCCCAGCTATGCAGAAATAGGGATGGATGCACTTGGAAGAAGCAGGCAAGTCCTTAAGCATTGCTGACTGAAGAGAGAGGTACAGTGTTGTCATCCCATTGTGAATTATTTTTCCCCTCAGCCTTATGAGGTGGGTTGGGCTGAGAGAGAGAGGGAGGGGGAGACAGCCTTCATGCCTAAGGCAGGACCCGAACTCATGATCTGCGTGTAGTCTGGTATCTTAACCAGGTAAACTTGCTCTCTCCCTCTCTCTTAGGATGCCAAGGGAACAAACCTAGCTAAATTGAAGGAATAAAGTTTTTTTTTAGAGGGGTGGGTGGGTGAGAGACAGCCAACACATGTAGAAGTGCCCCTACTCTTCAGAAAAGTGATGGGTTTACAAGGGGGATGTCGCTGCTTGGAAGAAGCGGGTAAGTCCTAAACCATTACTAACCGAAGAGATAGTACTATCACCCTGCACTGAATATACTAATACTGTACTCCCGTTTCTTTCATCATCATAATATAATAATTTTGGAAGGGACCTTGGAGGTCATCTAGTCCAACCCCCTGCTCAGGCAGGCAAGCCTATACCATTTCAGACAAACGGCTGTCCAGTCTCTTCTTAAAAACTTCCAGTGTTGGAGCATTCACCGCTTCTGGAGGCAGGTTGTTCCACTGGTTAATTGTTCTCACTGTCAGGAAGTTTCTCCTTAGTTCCAGGTTGCTTCTCTCCTTGATTAATTTCCATCCGTTGCTTCTTGTCCTGCCTTCAGGCGCTTTGGAGAATAGCTTGACTCCCTCTTCTTTGGGGCAGCCCCTGAGATACTGGAAGACTGCTATCCTGTCCCCCCTCGTCCTTCTCTCCATTAAACTAGACAGACCCAATTCCAGCAACCGTTCCTTATATGTTTTAGCCTCCAGACCTCTAATCATCTTTGTGGCTCTTCTCTGCACTCTTTCTAGAGTCTCAACATCTTTTTTACATCGTAGTGATCAAAACTGGATGCAGTATTCCAAGTGTGGCCTTACCCAGGCATTGTAAAGTATTAATACTTTACGTAATCTTGATTCTATCCCTCTGTTAATGCAGCCTAGCACTGTGTTGGCTTTTTTGGCAACTTATATATCCCCACAACAGTGCTCCTGTGAGGGGGTTGGGCTGAGAAAGAGGGACTGACCCAAAGTAATCCAGCTGACTGGAGCAGGACTCAAAATCTTCCAGTTTCTAGGCCAGCTGTGCTGGCTGGGGGATTCTGGGAGTAGAGACCCACAGATCTTCAAGCTGCTGTGGTTGAGTAACATAGGGCCTCTTTACAGTAGCATCTTTAGCGCATGGAGTATATATGCAACATTGGTTCTTGTTGGCTCCGAATTTAATGGCCCTCAAAGTGTAATTTTCAAAATGTAGTGAGAAGCTAAGATAATACCCTTAGATCAGGGGTCTCCAACCTCTGGGCCATAGCCCAATACTGGTCCGTGGCCTATTCGCAACCGGGCCGTGTGAGTGGCTGGCTGGTGTGCACCGACAGCCCTAGATAGATAGGTAGATAGGTTGATAGGTAGATAGGTAGATAGATAGATAGATAGATAGATAGATAGATAGATAGATAGATAGATAGATAGATAGATAGATAGATAGATAGATAGATAGATAGATGATACTGATTGATAGATGATAGATAGATGATAGGTAGGTAGATGATAGGTAGGTAGGTAGATAACCTTTATTGTCATTTTTTTCCTTTGGGCACAATGGCACACATTAAAAATGAAATTTACTTGCTTCCTCTCAAAGTGAGCATTGCAGACCCCTGTGGCCCCATTCACACGAGCATCGCAGGCACTCAGGGCCTCATTTGCGCAAGCGTCACAGGTGCTCTCAGCCCCACTTGCGCGAGCAACAAGTTCTTGTGCGCGCACGCGCCTACCCCTCCCACAAAACCATCCCTTCTTTCTCTCTCTCTCCAGCCACCTAGCCGGAAAAGTTGGGCAACTCTGCCTCAGATAATACCTGAAGAATAAGTCTTTGGGTCCTGAGCTAGTCCCGCAAGCCAAAAACACCTTTGGCTGCTCACTACCCATCTGTGTTAGTCATGCCCTCCCAGAGGTAATGACTGTTTTGGATGAAGAAATAGAAAGCTGTTGAGTCCCACCGTCGGTTCGCTCGGTGTAATGTTAATGTAGCACTGATAACGTTACCTAGTTTGGTAATGAAACGTCTGCAAGAAGACCCACCAAGCTCAGAGAGCGCCAAGGACCCCATCATGTTTATTGACAATGTCATCACATCATTTTCGACTTCTAATGTCCACACAGATGGACTTTCTGTACGACAATTTTTCCCCAACTTGTCTTTTAGGTCACTTGACATCCGTGTGACTAGCTTAACAGCTGCAGTGATTCGTTTAACAACCGCGGCCAGAAAGGTCGTAAAATGGGGCCAAAATCATTTAGTTGCCTTGCTTAGCAGCATAAAGTTTGTGATCGTAAGTCAAGGACTACCTGTAGAAGGACTTTGGATCAAGA